CTCCTCAGATAGGACTTTCCTGGAGTCTCCCAGACTTCTCTCGGGGTGGAAATGCTCAGGACGCGTGCAAAGGGGCTCTGAAGACACTCGTTCTGATCCGCCGCCTGGAATCAGGGCGAACCAGGGCTCGGGGGCAGTTTGTGCTCTCTCTCTTTAAAAAAAGAAAGGGAAGAGAAGGGGGGGGTAGGAAATCCTGTTTCCTCCAGGGTAATTACCACGATGGGGTGAGCCGGAGAAGGAATATGTACTTGTGTCTGATTCCTTGCAACGGAAATCTGGGTCACGCTCAGCAATTCCAGAATGCCGGCGAGGGCTGCCCAGTTCATGTGGGTCTGGTTTGGTGAGGTTTATCTGGAACTGGGTGTTTCGTCTTGACTTGCTCACCGCATCTGCTAGCGGACAAACAAACGGCGTTAGAGAAAACTTGGCTTTTTCTTTAAAAATAACATTCGGAAAGCACGGGGCGTTCTATTTAGCGCCCGGCGCATCCGAGCAGAGGCAGCCAGAGCAGAGCCTGAGTTGGCTCAGACGGCTGGGGCTCCGGTTCGCGGATGCCTCCGGGGTTCCCCGGCCGCGGGCTCGAGGACGCCTGACTCGTGCTCGCCCTCCTCCCAGATGCACTGATCACAAAAGCAGAGTAGCACTGCTCACATGACGGGTGCCGGCAGAGGCAGCAGGGCTTGAGATCAGCCCCAGTCTACGCACGGTTGGTTCCCAGCTGACAGACAGAATATGGGGTGGGCTTTGTCACCAGCACGCTGGGTCTGGCATGCCCAGCTATGCTCGGAAGCACGCAGTGCCCAGACGCCCGCCGCCGCCGCCGCTCCCCGGGTCCGAGCCGCTCCAGCGCCGAGGAGCCGGGCAGCCCCCCTCTCCTTCCTCCCATCCGAGAAGGTTATATAATGAGCGGACTGCTGCCAAAGTCGGAGGGAAAATGAAGTCTTTGTTAAATGCCTTCACCAAGAAGGAAGGTAAGGAAGAGCTGTCGGGAGCGCGGTGCATGGGAATTAGCCGTTTCTGACTGATGCTCTGGGGGAGCGGGGGACTCCGGTCCCTCCCAAAATTGCTGGTTGTCCCTTCTCATCATGGAAGGGAATAATGACTTCGGGTGCGCCCTCGGGCTTTGTTGTAGTTGGTACTGGGATTCTAACCCACTCAAAGGTGCGGTTTTATTTCACGGTCCTCTCAAGTCCCCAGCCCCTTGCACATTGCATTCCGGAATGTGCCTCCATGGTGACCGTGCCGGAGGGCACATTGGGAACTAAGTCCTAGGGAAAATGAAGTTTTGCCTCGGTCTGCCTGCTTCCCGGAGGCTGCGGAGCACCTGCTCGGGAGCAAGGAAGGTCAGGACACGTCGCCGGCCGTGCCGGCTCAGGGCGGACGCTCTCCGAGCCACTCCTTGGCTCTCGTTGGCCGTCCCCTGGTGGCATTTTCCTGGAGTGGATGCAGATGCGGCGTGGCAGACTCTGAGAGTGCATGGGGTTTTTGTCATACCTTGTGTGATTTCTATTGTGGAAAAAAAATATATGTATAAATAAATACATGGAAGACAGCTAAGAAAATATCCACCCACTTAGAGTTTGCAGATTGCCTGAAAGAAGGAAACAGTTGGGTGGAATATTAATCATTTTCAGACAGGAAAAGAGTTATTTTTACCCTTTTCACCAAAAAAAAAAAAAAAAAAATCAACATTTCCATGGATGGCTCCAGTTACTTTGTCAGACAGAGAACTCTTGCTTTATGAAATCGGGTTTATGGAGACATGACTTTGGAGGAATTAGGAAGGTGCTTGCCAGCCCAAGCCATAAAATAAACACGGAAAAAATTTCCAGTTACCTTACATGGGGAATTAATTTAATGTGAGTCCTGGTAATTAAGCGAGCTAATTGTCATTTGAATGCTCGCCCTCACGTTACCTCTGCGATCCCGGTTTGGTACCCCACCTGATCCTCAGGGCAGGGGCAGGGCTCCCCCATCCCTTGATCTTCCCAGGGCAGCAGTCCTGAATTCCCACCACTGCGCAGGCCCCCCGCTCAGAAAGCCGGCTTCAGCCCGCATCTTGGGAATTTATATAAAGAACAGCCTTTGTCCACACTCATTTTCTTGTGTTATTAACCCAGATTCATCTTCTGGTAATTCAGTTTTTGGAACCTGTGCACAGCAGGGAAATGTTAGTTCGTTCGGTGTCCGTTCTGTTCTTTCATAGACCTTTCTCCCCTCATGAGTCTGTCTTAGGCATCGGCAGGACTCCCCACCCCCAATTTCTGTTAAGGGCATTAGTCCTTTACAGTTCTATCGGTCAGAAAAAGAGACCCAGCTGTCTCGTCAGGGAGGCTCGGCAGGAGTTCATGTCACTGAATGCACGCGTGTCCTTATTTGGGAGCATCCCTGTGGAGCTGGGGTGTCCCCTCCCCACGGGTACCGTGAGCCCTGGCCTCTCCTCAGATGCGGGTGATGGGGGCGGGGAGGATGGTCCAGGAGGCCCAGGGCCCCGTCTCCCTTCCTGCTTAATGTGTCTGCTAGAGGGGTTGGCTTTCCTGCTGTGATTCGGTCCTCCAGCCGACTGTCTGTGTGCATGGAAGGTTTCCGCCCTCTAGGACTGTGCAGCCATTTGCCCTCTGTGAGGTCTCTCAGTACCCCCCACCCCATCATCAGGCAGGTGTCAGGTCACCCCAAAGCACCCACCCGCAGGTGCACTTTTCACACCATAAAGGATTTAGCGCTCAGCCCTTGCAGGGGTCATTCTGGCCTCCCATCTGCCCAGGGGGAGTGACTGATGTGGTTCTCCCTCACGACCAGCAACATGCAAACTCAGGGATGTTCCCCAAAGTGAGGTTTTTCTAGCAGGTGCGGCCAGGCCTTGCTGATGCCCCAGTGGGCTCAGCCCCTTGAGAGGGCAGCCTCTTGCCAGGGCTCCACGGAGGACACCGCCGGCCTTTCCCTCCGCCGCCTCTCTCCCAGCCGGGCTGGCCCTGGTGAGTTCGTGTCCTTTGAGGAATTCAGAGCAGGATGCCAGCCGCTGCTGAAGAGCCCTGGCTGTGTCCAGGGAGGCTTCCCAGAGGAAGCAGGTCAGGATGGGCACAGGCTGCCTCGGGTAAAAAATAGGACCTCCGACACGTCCGTTCCAGAATCTCACCAACTGCTCGGAACGTGGATTCCCAGCGTGTGTCCTGAGCCCCGTGCCGTTTCTGCGTGGCTTCTCTGGGTTGGCTCCATCTCTGCCTTCCCAGGACTGCCCTGCATCCTGGCGAGGCAGTGAGGGGGTGCGCTGGGTCACAGCTGCCTCAGTGGAGCTCCGCCAGCGACCTCTGTCCCCCAGCGCTCTCTTTGCCAGTGCTGCCTCCCCGTTGGCTCGCCTGTGCCCCCGGGATCTCTGCCCGCGCTACTCTGTCCCTGATGCACTCTGCTGCCCAGCGTGGTCATGGGCCAGTGCCAAGGGTTGATGGGGGGCCCAGGCTCCGGGAAGGGTGCACCTGTCCTTCGCTTTCATGAAGTGCTTCACTGCAGCCTTTGACCTTGGGCAGTGGGCATGGTGGACTACCCGTGATGTTCTTCTCCGAGACACTAGGACTCCCACTCCAGCCCAGCTCACCCAGGAGGGTGCGTGCTTTCTGCTGCCCTATAGTGCTGGTCTGGCCTCGGGCAGCACGGACTCGAGAGCTCGCTCGCTCGCTCGCTCGGCCTCATTCCGGAGCATGCAGATCCCATGGTGAGCGGGAAGCTGCCTGGCGGTCAGGCGCTTAAAGGAAGCCCGTGTCCCTCGCTTCCAGGGGCATCGGCACGTTCTCCAGCAGCCTGGAGGGCTACCGTTCTTGACATGCGTCTTCTGAGAAAGGACACTTTCTATTTCTGGCTCCAGCCCTCGGAGCAGCCTGGAGTGGGTGCAGTGTGGATACCTGTCCTCACGGTCCCCGCGGGCAGTGTCCTCATTCTGAGTCCCTGGGCTCGCTGAACTCAGCAGAGTGAGGGCGTCGCCTGTGGTCTAGAACTTAGTAGAAGACAGATGAGGCGTGCTTGCGCCTTCCTGTTGCGTGCTGTTGGGCCCCGGTTTGATGGGTGGGGAAAACAGCATGCTTGGTCCTGAAGCAGACCACCGCTGAAGGGTACTCAGAGGGCCGTGTGCATGTCCTGGGGCAGCAGTGACAAAGCCCCAGAGATGGGGTGGCTCACACAGTGGGACGCACTGCACTGTCCCCTGGTCCCGGAGGCCGACACCTGAGATGCAGGCGCGGGCAGGGCGGGGTCCCCCTGAGGCCTCTCTCCTCGTGTGTGGATGACCGTGCACTCCCTGGGTCCTTATGGGGTCTTCCCTCCATGCAGGTCTGCGTCCTGATCCCCTCTTCCTGTAAGGACCCCAGTCACGCCAGATCAGAGCCCGGTGACCCCGTGTTGCCTTGATCACCTCTGTAAAGGCTCCAGCTCCAGATATGGTCTCAGGCACCAAGGATTAGGGCTCCGACACATGAATTTCAGGGGGACCTGGTCCAGCCCCTACCAGGGGCCAAGTTCAGGTGGTGGCGAGGGGGAACTTTGTGTCCCGACCACGCTGTGAGGCCCTCACACGTGTCTTGGCTGCTGAAGGATCAGGCGCTGGTCCGGATGGAAGGCGGACCCTGAGCCCCTTCCATCTCAAACATTCGCTTGAGCCTCCATGAAATGGAGACATTCTCAGTGTCCACCTTGTCTCTGCTTCTGTGTTGGGGTGGGCTTTGCACACACGGTGGGCCCTGCACATGCAGCAGGCCCTGCACACACATTGGGCTCTGCACGTGCAGGGGGCCCTGCACAGGCAGGGGCTCTGCACACACGGCAGGCCCTGCACACGCATCGGGCCCTGCACACGCAGGGGCTCTGCACACTCAAGCAGGCCCTGCACACGTGGGGGCTCTGCACACTCAAGCGGGCCCTGCACACGCGGGGGCTCTGCACACTCAAGCGGGCCCTGCACCCCCCATGCCATGCATGCACTCACCCACCTCTCCTTGTTCTCTCTGACCCAGTGCCCTTCCGAGAGGCCCCGGCATACTCCAACCGCCGGCGGCGGCCCCCCAACACGCTGGCCGCCCCCCGGGTCCTGCTGCGCTCCAACAGTGACAACAACCTCAACACCAGCACCCCCGACTGGGCCGTCTGCTCCGCCACCTCCCACCGCAGTCTCTCACCCCAGCTGCTGCAGCAGACGCCCGGCAAGCCCGACGGGGCCGCCAGGACCCTTGGGAGCTACGCCCCCGGGCCCCGCAGCCGGTCGCCGTCGCTCAACAGGCTGGGCGGTGCCAGTGAGGATGGCAAGAGGCCCCAGCAGTCCTGGCACGTCGGGTAAGGAGTGGCCGGGTTTGGGGGGTGCTGGCGAGGAGCCGGGGGGCTCCCGAGGGAACTGGGAGAGGAAGCCCTCCCTGCACCATGGCTCCTGCTTTCTAGGGTTCGGGGCACACCCAGAGGTTGGCCAGAGTGCCTGTTTTACTCCAGGTTGGATATTGGGTCACGTGATGACTGCCCAGGGCAGGTGTAGGGGGCAGGGCTGAGCTTCCGGGAGTGGGGCGGGCCCTTGGGGCTGGGGCTGGCATTGGGGCCTCGTTTTCCTTCCATGTGCATTGGATTCTGGGTTCTAAAAGTGAAATGTGAGCAGAGAGGGAGCTAAGGCCACCAGCCTGCCCGTTGCCAAGAGTTTTTCCAAGTGCCACATTTACTGCAAACGCACCTGATCCAAAATTAATGCTCACGCTCAGGCTCTGGGCCCTCCCCGCTTTGCTGTCTCCCCAGCATGCTCTCCACCCGGCCATGCCCCCTTCAGAATTGTTCACGTAAGGATGGGACTTCTCGGGGGTGGGCTCACGGCTGGGCCCCAGGGTGCGGGGCTTGGGGCTGGCTGCAGCCATGAAAGCAGCCCCGGCCCTCGGCCCTGCCAGTCCGACTGTGCTCTGTCTCGGGCCCGGGCCCTGGTCCTTGTGCTACTGCTCGCTGGCCCCTTCCCTCCTGGTTCCTGGTTCCTGGTTCCTGCGCCTGTGCTGTGGGGTTCTCAGCGTTTGTTGAGCTCTGTCCTCAGGCCGCCGTGGCCCGGGAGGGCCCGCTGACCGGTGTGTCCCTGGCTGCACAGGGCTCTGGTGCAGTATCGGGGCCCCCTTAGGTCCAGCATGTCACCATTCCACCCCGTTCATTCCTGTTCCCTCCCAGGCCTCTGAAGGCAGCTGGGTGCACCAGGCCCGCTGAGTGAGGCTTGCTGATGCCCCGGCATTAATAACGTCTGCGATGCTATTTGTGGGCTCTGTCCTACAGGTTCCCCATCTTCGGAATGGGGTGCAGGCAGGGAGCCTGGATGGGAGGGGGCGTTGGTGCTTCACATGGTCCCAGCAGGAGGCTGACGGCTGTGACCGTGAGCAGAGGTGGGCCAGGTCTCCGGATCGGGAGAACGTGCCCAGGGGAAGCACGCCTCCCGGGCCCTGGGTGGGGGTCTCGGTCCTGAGGCTCTGGATGCCGGCCTGCCCCAAGCCCACATCCACACCTCAGCCCCGGCCACTGCCCACCCGCCTTGTCCTCCAAACGGTGAGATCCACCTTCTGGCTCTGGTCTAGATTCTGTATCTGAGTCACCCCAAGGGAGAAGTCCCAGGTGCTAAGAACAGTTTAAAATTAAATTAAAGTCTTCCCCCGAGGCGGCAAATTCCACTTTGCACCGTTCACTGGAATTATGACTATAATTTTGAGAAGAGTGTGTCCCCTTCCTCCAGCACGAAATCTAAGAAGAAACTGAAGGCGGGGTGGCCAGGGACCGCAACACTGCAAACAAAACAGTGCTTGTGAAGGGAGGAAAGCCCCCGGCGTGCCTTGCTGGGGCCCCGCCTGGCTGTCCCCCGTGTCCTGTGCGGGTGCATGGGAGGCCACCACAGCGGCTGTCCTGAGCACTTGCTACTGGGACCTCCAGGCACGTGTTCTGGGCCACTTACTTCACACTTTGAGCCTCATCTGCACAGTGCGTATCGTGAAAAGACTGGCCCCTTGGGTTTGTTTTTAAGACTCAGTGAGTGAGTTTGTGCCCATGCTTGGCACACAGTACGTGCTCAATCCAGGCTGGCCCTTAGATGGAGCGCAGGTCTGTATCGAACCCAAAAAAGGCACTTGGCTGGTTCTGTTGCCTTTGTCACCCAGAGCTGTGGGCAGGGGGACTGACCATCCAGGCTTGCCCGGGACCCCAGGATTGCCCCCAATTGCGGGGTTTGCCCGGGACCCCAGGATTGCCCCCAGTTGTGGGGCTGTTACCTGTCCTGGCCCGGCTGGCACCCTGCCTTGCTGAGCAGTGCCGCTGATAGGAGCCCTGCCTTTGTGCCTTGTCCAGACTTCCTCCCCCACCTCCCCACCCCAACAAACCTGCCTGTCCTTTGTCTATCTCTTCAGGATCCAGCTCCCTTGCTGGACGTGGAAGCCACTCTGTGACAGAAGCGATGGGCCCTGGGGTCCTTCCCCCAATACTCCACTGTCCTAACAGGGACCTGCCGGGTGCACCTGATTCCCCCTGGGACGTGAGGGAATGGTGGGCATTTGAGCCGCACAGCAGGCTCTCTGCTTCCTGGCTGGGAGACCGCGGTCTGGCCTTTCAAACGACGCCTAGGTGTAGAACTGGCCATACAAAACAGCCTAGGTAATGGGGGATGCCAGATACAGGACCCCACAGCATCACCCATGGACCTCGTGGGGGCTCAAGGAGGTGGCTGAACCCCTCCACTCAGTCTTTGTCTTCATAGCTCAGAGCTTAACCCCTTCCTGGGGGAGGCGGACCCTGGCTGGGCACGACGCATGGGGCCCTTGCAAGGAGGAAACCGGCTGCCAGACTCAGGGTGCCCCAGGGTGCCCCGAGAGCCCTTACTGATTCTCGCAGAACCCTGGGTGGGGTTAGGAAGCCCCAGGCGGTGGAGGGAAAGGCCCTGCCCCTGCACACCCCTCCATCTACGGATTCTGTCTCTGTGGGTAGCTGTCCCAGCTCTGCTCACCCCCACCGTGTGCCCGCCCAGGACACCTGACTGTTCTGTGCCAGGTTTCCTCCTATGAAGAGTGGGGCTGGTAGTTTGGGAGGAGGAGTAAGTTGAATTTGATAACCGTCCACTGCACGTTCTGAGGCTGTGTCTGGCTCACGGGGGCTCCCCAGAAGCGTTTGCTGCTCTGGGTTGTCAGAAAGACCCTCTGGCCCATTGGGCAGGCACTGGAGGGGGTCAGGTGTCACTGTCCAGGCAAAGAAAATCACATCGGCCCAGTAGAGGGGGGCAGCCTCCTGACATGAGGATTTGTCCCCTGGCTCCACACCCCCACCTTGTTCCCCGCGTTCTGCCTCTCTTCCGGTGGGGAATGCTAGACACTTAGCTCCAGAGTCAGGCAGAGCCCATTTGCCTGAATGCCAGGCTGAGGCCCCAGAAACCCCAGCCAGGAATACGATGGGCACATCAGTGTGGCCAAACCCTCAGGTGCAGACCGGAAGACTGCGGGGGGGCACCAAGTTCTCCCCGGCTGCCCCAGTCCCTGCCTGGCTCCCTCCCTGGCTGGGCTCTGTGCTGTGGGCAGGGTCAGCGTCCTCCATAAAGCTGGCCTTCCGTAACCAGCTGACCTGAGTGCCAGGCAGGGAGGTAGAAGGCCCACAGAGGTCAGAACCCATGTACCTGCGGCACCTTGGAATCCAGCTTCAGGTGCCCGGCTCCACAGGCTCGCCCTCTAGTGGCCCTCCACAGTGGCGCCCTCTAGTGGCCCACTGGCGTGCCTTGTCCAGGTCCCTAAGAACTGCGTCCCCATTGCCCAGGACCCCTCCAGTGACCCAGCAGGCTGCCCTCGCCTCACCAGCACGAGGAAGCATTCTGGTCACCCTCTTATCAGGGGCGCACCTCTTGGGTGGGTTTAGCTCAGCATGGTGGGGAGGCCTTGTGCTTTTGAGTGTAGGAGAGATTCATGCAGCCCGTGGCTGGCTGGTGGCCTCCCTCTGAGCCTGAGCCTTTGAGCAGAACCTGGCAGGGGCTCCACAAAGTCTTATACGCAAGTCACCTTCATTTCCGTGAACCCGGCCATGGGAAGCTGAGGCCATGCAGGTTGTTTGGGTTTTCGGGTGGATAAGACGGCAGATGAGCCAGCAACCCTCAGGGTGGGGGGCTCGACCATCCAAGGAAGGTCCAGGTGTGGGGCCACCGGGCCAGCTTCGAGCCTGTGCCTATGGCCCCTCTGGTAGAAGGTGACATCAATATTACCAGTCTGTGCCCCCCTGAGTAGCACCCGCACCTCTGTGAGCACCCAGGAAGGAAGGCCAGCCCAAGACAAGGGCCTCAGATCCCAGAGCAGGTTTGCTCACAGAATAGAACCTTTTGAGTGGAGCCACAGGTCAGAAGTCAGAGACCGCAGCCCCTTCCGCGGGGTCCTGGAAGGTTCTGGGGTGGTGGGAATCCACCTAGCCCTGCACACCCCTTCCAGGGGATGAGGCTCCCATATTGTCAGGCTTGTGGGTGTGAAGGGGTGCGGTGGTGCCCCTCTGGCTCCGGTCTTTGTCCACCTCTGTGAGCCCTCTCCCTGCTTCCTGGGGCCATGGGGACCAAAGCTTGGCTCCCCCAGAGGAGCAGAGACCTGGTTTCCTCCGTGAGAACTCAGTGCCCGTCCTGACCCAGAAAGGGAGTTGGTGGGGGCGCCAGGGAGAGCTCCAGCCAGCAGGGTGGGGGCAGGACAGGGTTCGTCAGGGTGCGGCAGGCACTGCCTGGCCTGGGGCGCTAATGGCACGTCACTGGGAGGTCAGGAGGAAGGATCCATGAGGAGTGGGACTCCCTGGGTTTATGTCTGTCACCTGGTGGGGAGGTAGGGCCAGGCCCAGGGGGCCCACCCTGAGGGAGCAGGTGCATCTTGGCTGCTGAGGAATCCATGTCCAGGCACCTCACGGGCCACCCCTTCCCTGCCGCTTTCTCTCCTTCCATGTTTAGGGACATTCAGACTTTGCTCTCTCGGTTGGTTGCGTGAATTCATGAATTACCAACCTCCTCTGTGTCGGGTGCTCCTCATGCGGAGGCGAATGCCGTGTCCCCACCCCAGAGGTGAGGGCATTGAGGGCATACATTGAGACATGTAAGCTCGCAGGGGTGATGTAGTTGAGGGCATGGAGCCATAGGCGCCCCTGACAGAGCCCCTCAGGGCTCAGAGCTCTGTGGGGGAGATGAGGGGGCTCCATAGAGAAGGGGAGATTCCAAAGTGGGGAAAGCAGTGGGCCAGCTGGGCGTCGGGGTGGGGGGTGAGGGGTCCAGTGTGACTGGGGCAGAGAGTGGGAGGTACGAGGAAGGATGCGCATTCAGAACTGTGCCCCATCAC